GGGGGCGGTGGCCAGGAATGCGCATGCCGACGGGGACAGCACATCCCAGAGCCTCCCATCTCCCCAGTGCGGCAGGCCCCCTCCCAGCACGTGGCCTTCCCGCCGCGGCCGCCGCCGCCGGCCTGACGCACGTCCACTCGGGACACAGCTGTGCGGGGCCCACGCCGGAGGATCTCACCTCCCTCCCTCCGTCAGAGCCCATCTCCGCCCGCCCTCTGAACTCAAGGGATTCCTCCTCCATGCTCAGGAGAGGTCAGACGCCCAAAGAGCACTCTGTTCTCTGACGGGTTCACAGAGGTGGACAAGATGGCCTCTGTCCATGCAACCAGGCGCACGGCTTCCCCTCCCCACTTCTTGGCCCTCCTGCTGGCCAGGAGCAGAGGAGAGCAAACCTCTGCTCTGGGTCCTCGGTGCTCACCGTGGAGGCCCCCGGTGAGTGAGCAAAGCCATCCGGGCGATAGCAGAAGGACAGGCCAGCACCTGCAGCTAAGGACCGAGGTTCGGTTAAGACAGCTGCTCCTACTCTGGCCGATGCTGGGTTTGGAGAGAAAGGAATAGGAAACAGAACCGAAAAACAAGTGATGTAAGCTCCAAGGGGACCCTCAGCTGGAATTGGGCAGAGTCCCTCTTCTGGTCACACATCTGGAAATGAGGAATGATGGGAAAATGGCTGGACACTCTGTTTTCAAATGGCGAGGGAAAAGTTAAAGACTTCTTTATAAAAGTCATCTGGTTAGATTCTCTCCTCCATTTCAATCCAAACAGTTTTAAAACAAACGCCGAAGAGTCTCCCCCAGGCTGGTGGACCCCGTCCCGAGCCTCCTCCCCGTGGGGGTTCACAGGGTCCAGCACGGCTTCCCCCGGCACCGGCTGTGCTGCGGAGGGAGAAGATGCTGCGGAGCCCACTGCCCACCGCCAGCACGGAGCTGCTCTAAGCCCGGGCTCTTTACTTGTAAAAAGAGGGTCTAATAAAGGATTTACTGGACTGAGACAAGATTAAGAGACCGGGGACTACACCAATGTTACTGGCTCCTTTCTCTTAAAAATGAGAACAAGCCTGCCTATTTAGTAAGCTGATTAGACAGGTAGATACTGGTTTCATAAACCGTGACTCTCTCCCTTCCCTAAGAGGAAGAGGGAGTAGGGGCAGGAGAGGGGCAGTCTGTTTAGTCCTTGACCTCAGGCCATCTGGTTTCGGAGCAGCCTCTCTCCCCAGTCTGTGCTCCGGGACCTATAAAAAGTGAACCTAACCCGTGTGTGGAGGTCACGTCACCTGAGTAAGCAAGTCCCTCTTCTTGCAGCCCTGTGGCTCTGTTCTCATTTGGAGTGGGAGCTGGTTAGGTGGTTCCCCTGACCCTGCTTCCTCATTAGATGACCTTTCCCACACCCCGGGTCACCGAGGGCCTTTGGACGCTTCCTTGGAGGAGCTGAGAGCGAGGTGGGCAGGGAAGGCCCGCAGCGCCTCACACAAGCCTGGGAGAACCAGGAAGGGAAGGCTGGCACCCCCGCCCACACCCGCCCAGCCACTCCTGTAGGACTGGTCAGTGGTAGGTCTGGCTTAGCAGAGCTACCTTAAGAAGAAGGCAAATTATCCTATATAATAAAAGGCTAATATGCAAATAGACAAAACGGCCAAACAGTCTGTCGCTATGATGCGCACTGACCACCAGGGGACAATTGCTCAATGCAGGGGCTGCCCCCTGGTGGACAGTGCGCTCCCACAGGGGGAACACCGCTCAGCCAGAAGCTGGTTCACAGCTGGCAAGTGCAGCGGTGTCAGGAGCCTCACCCACCTCTGCGACATACCCCCCGAGAGCTCCCGGACTGCGAGAGGGCGCATGCCGGGCTGAGAGACTGCCTCCAGGTGCACAAATTTCGTGCACCAGGCCTCTAGTCTATATAAAAGCATAATATGCTAATTAGACCGGACATACTTCCAGGTGTTTTTCCTTCCAGATAAAGCTGCAGTGGTCAGAGGTTGTGGCAGAGGCCACAGTGGTGGTGGGTGAGGGCTACAGCAGAGGTGGCAGAGGGCCCTGGCAGTGGTGGGTAGGGACCTGGGCCAAGGCCCTTGCACATATTTCGTGTATCAGGCCTCCAGTCTACACCGAGTGGCCAGATTATGATGATCTCTGAACGCATCATAATCTGGCCAGTCTGTGTGTGTGTGTGTGTGTGTTATATATTAGAGGCTTGGTGCATCAATTTGTACATGGGTGGGGTCCGGCCAGCCTGGCTAGGAGGAGGGGACATGGGCGGTTGGCCAGCCTGCCTGCTGGTCAAACTCCTGGTCGAGGGGACACTTTGCATAGTAACCTTTTATTATCTTGGATATACACTGAGTGGCCAGACTATTATGTGTTCAGAGATCATAATTATCTGGACACTCAGTGTGTGTGTGTGTGTGTGTGTGTGTGTGTGTGTATGTGTGTGTGTGTGTGTATATATATAAAAGGCTAATACGCAAAGTGTCCCCTCAGGAGTTTGGTCACTCGCTATGACGTGCTGACCACCAGGGGCAGCGCGGAACATGGTGGGCAACTGGTAGTGGCGGTGGGGTGCTGAGGGAGCGAGGGGAGGAGGAGGAGGAGGGGAACCCTGCAGTGGCACGTGCGTGGGTGGTGAGGGAAGGAGCAGGTGGTGATGTGGGGAACCTGATCACCAGCCAGGCTTAGGGACCCTACCCGTGTACGAATTTTGTGCACTGGGCCTCTAGTTTGCATGTATTCAGCAATTAAGAGCAAAAATCATTTTGAGAATTTCTCTTCTAACTGAAATTTACATTCAATTCTGAACGGGACAGGTTTTAATAAAAAGAGCAGCATATGCACACATCCTCACTTAGCAGAGCCACGCACTAGGTTGAACTGTGGCCAGCTCAGGGCTGGGAGGACTTCCCAGGGGTGCCCCGGAGCACCATCACGGGCAAGCGTTTCTTAGCTTTCAGAGTTTTGAGCTGAAGTGAGAATTTTCTGAACATTTAAGGTATGAAGAGCAGGAATAAAATGGGAAGGAACACAGAGTAATTCATAAAAATGAGATGGAAGCCGAAACCGGTTTGGCTCAGTGGATAGAGCATCAGCTTGCGGACTGAGGGGTCCCACATTTGATTCTGGTCAAGGGTGTGTACATGGGTTGCGGGCACATCCCCAGTGGGGGGTGTGCAGGAGGCAGCTGAGTCGATGTTTCTCTCTCATCGATGTTTCTAACTATCTGTCCCTCTCCCTTCCTCTCTGTGAAAAACCAATAAAATATATATATATATATATATATATATATATATATATATATATATATATATATATATTTTAAAAATGAGATAGAAATCTCAACCATTAAAACAGCTGCTTTGTGCTTAAGGAAGCCTCCCTTTCCTGAGCCCGAAGGGCCTCATTTAGGGAAACGGAGCGGCCTCTCAAGAGCTTGTTTACGCCCAACGCTCCTTCCCACGTGGGCAGATAAGGACATGCAAGGGCTCAAAAGGCTGCACAAAGCTGGCTCCATGTGCACCCCCTCTCCCCCCGCCCCCCCGACTGCAAACCACTTCAAACCACTGCTTAACAAGCGTGACTTCCACATGGACAGAAAGTCTTGTTTTCCTGCATTAATCAACACAAGGCGCCGACTGCTTCACAGAAACTCCCTCAGGTACAGCTCATCCCGGCTTCGCTGAAGCCCGAGGCGGCGGGGTGTCTCCACCCTGAGCCCCGAGAACCCTGCTTGCCCTTGACTAGCCCACAGGCGCGTGGCTCTGAGCCACGCAGAGGGGGCCGGGGCAGGTGCGGCCGCACAGGATGCAGAGGGCCCGCCCCCTCACCGCCGTCCGCCTGGCCGTGACTGACAGACACTCCTGTGTCCATTCGCTTCCTGCCTTCAGGACCAGGGGCCGCAGGATGTTTTGTTTTTCTTCGCGGTGGTGTTGGCATGACCAGACACCCAGAGGTGTCAAAGGAAACAAGAAAAGAGCCATCCTAATTTACATCATTTGATTAATACAGCACTTAAGGGAAACAATGAGCATAGTGAGTTATCCAACCAAAAGGAACCAGCTGTATATTGTTACAAAAAATAAAAACCTCACCTTGTTCCCAGTACAGAGAGACAGACCATTGTAACATAGGACCACAGAGGCTGCACACCCAGCTGGCAAACACTGTGGGTCTGGAATTCCTTCCCAACCACATTACATCAGCTTGACACATCTGTAAAACATCTTCCCTGCAGAGTCAGACCCTGAAGATCAGGCCCGGGAGGCGCCCGCCACCGGCCAGCATCTAGCTCCCCCCCGCTGAAGGCACCGGTAAGAGAACACGGCCCGCGCCATGGTGCTGCCTCAGCGGGCAAGGGCTCTGGCCTGACCAGGGAGGGGGACCAGGAGCCTAAGTGCTGAGAACTCAGCCAGGCGGCCGAGGGAGGGGGGAAGAGCAGGGGGAAGAGCCAAAAGATAAAATGGAGAAGAGTGACTTTAGGAGAAACCGTTTCAATTGTAATCCACTCCAGCCTGGCATCGCCGAGCCCTGAGAGCCACGGGCGCTGGGCAAGTTCACTTCTTGAGTGCGATTTGAGGCTATCTGACCTTTTCTCAGTGGTCCTCGAGTTGTTCGTTCTGTTCGGGAAACGGCAATGACTTCTTTCATCAGCCATGGTGTCCCTAAGACAGCACGGGGTGGTGCGGCCGGGAAGACGGACGCGGGCCCAGCAGAAGGATGGCTGTGAGGCTGGGCCGCAAAGGGGGTCGCTGTGCATGTGAGGGGGGCACCATCCGGTCCTCGCTGGGAGCGTGGCTTTGAGGTTGCGGGGCCAAAAGACCTGGCGGAGCCCAGTCTCTCCCAGACGGGTACTGGCAGAGCGCTGGCCAGCAGCTGGCTCACACAGGCATGCACAGGGCAGGGAACCAAGTAGCCAACCCCTGGAAAGTGGTTTCATTGTTTTTAAAAAAATAATTATTTCCTCCTTTCAATCCGGTCTTCACCTCCAAACCGTTCCTCCGCTCCGCGTTCCTATGGCTCTGCGAGGGTGGTTGCATCGCAGAGGACCAGCGGCTGGACCCCTCTGGCTACAACGTAGACCTTCCAGTGGGCGGCACGGGCGTAGCCTGCAAGGAGAACAGCAACGCAGCGTGTGAACACCTGCAAAGCCAGGCGCATCGTGCTCTGAGGTCGTCCAGGCCCTTCTGCATAAATGTACCCAGTCATTATCATTCTCTGTACCCTGGCACCCAGCAGGGGCCACTCTGAACCAGCTCCATTGCTGCCTCACCTGGGGACTGAACGCCAATCCCATAGGTTCCCATTGGCAGGTGCTCTGATGAGCTGGTGCTGGGCACCAATTCCTGCGCACTGAGCTCACCATTTTCAGCGAGAAGACCGGACTGGCTGAGGGGGAGGGGTCCCCACTCGTTTTTCCTGAGACTTCTACAACATGGCCTCATTACAGAACATCCAGACTGACCCAACCCAGCGTTCCCTAAACTGGGTCCCCTGTAAGAAGTCCAAGGAAAACGGGTTCTGTGTGGCCAAGTTTGAGAAACACTAGATTCCTCCAGGGTTTTCGGAGCCTTTTGTACAGAATGTGCACTGTGTATTGCCAAGCCTGGCATTTCCCGAAGTCTACTGACCAAAGGACCCCATCTGCCAGGGCCTTTCCGGGGGGCACCTGCTCCTGCTGGTCCTGAGCGGCCTGCAGAACCCTTAGGAAACACTCACCAGAACCATCTGGGCGGGCGGAAAGGTGACTGACACCCTTCACCACATCAGTGCTCTGCTCTCCTGATGGAAATGTCCTAGCGACTGATGTGCCCTCTTCAGCCGTAAATGAGAGCCCCGAGCAGCCCCGAGCCTCCCCGCGCAGTGACTGCACAGTCCGGGGGGTGCAGGCTCACAGCGCCTGACCCTACGTCACCCTTGAAAACGGCCCCCTCACAGGTTCCTGGTGGTCTGTCCCCTTGTCCCCTTCCCATTAACCCTCACAGGACAATGTTTATCATGTCATCACGTCAAAAAGCACAGAAGGTGCTGTCACGCTGCCATTCCTAAGGGTCCCCGAGCTGCTCAAGATGCCACCTGTCCTCAACCCTCCACTGTAGGGCCTGCTCTTGGGTCCTCACTTGTAACTGAGGCGGCTGCAGCCAGGCGGCTGCTGCTGCCACTGCTCAGGTGCCCACTGTCCTCCCTGCCTTCTCCCAGGCATGCACGTCCTCTTGTTCTCTTCTGTCTCCAGTCCCGTGGCTGGCCTTTCGTGGGCACTGCTAACCTCAGGCTCCGTTCCACCTGGTCTGTGGCCGGCCAGTCACAGCTCGGCAGGCATCAGGCCCTGGATTTCAGGCTAGCCTGGACTATGCCCACTGGACCTGCTGCTCAAAGCTTCTCTGACTTCTGCCAGGCACCCATTCCTTCTTCTCCCCCTCATCCTATGGCTGGCATTCTAGATGCTAATGGGAGCTGGAGGCCTGGAGTTTGGATAACTAAGGTGTTTCTGCAGTTGTCTGAACTGTCAGGATTTGAAGAGCGTAAGACAGACTTTGAATGCACAACAACACTCTCCCAGCGCCAAGCGTGCAGGCTTGTGCAGCCGTCACGCCTCATGGAAGCGTCACAGGAAGATAGCTCCAGAACACTTTCCCCACAGGAATCTCCCTCTGCAGAACTCCCAGGGCCAGGCCACTGCGCTCCATCTCAGTCAATGGTTAACTGATGCAATTTCATTTTTCTATTTCTTTTTTTTTTTTTTAATATATTTTATTGATTTTTTTACAGAGAGGAAGAGAGAGGGATAGAGAGCTAGAAACATCGATGAGAGAGAATCATCTATCAGCTGCCTCTTGCACCACCTCTACTGGGGATGTCCCCGCAACCAAGGTACATGCCCTTGACCAGAATCGAACCTGGGACCTTTCAGTCCTCAGGCAGATGCTCTATCCACTGAGCCAAATCGGTCTCGGCTCATTTTTCTATTTCTAAACTGAAATCAAAGCTATGTAACTTGGATTAAAACCTGGCACACTTCACAGTGTGCACACGTCCTCCAAAGGCAGTGAGGTTTCTAGGGACCCGGGTTCTCTGAAAAGGTAAATTAAAGAAATCAGCTGGGAAACCAGGCAGGGCTCTTCCAGGGCCTCCGGGTCGCCCCTGGGCTTTGTGAGGCAGGAAAGACAGGGGGGCAACGGGGTCCTTGCTGAGTTATTTGCTTCTGCCAAGAAAACTCTAGTAACACTGATTGCTATCTACAGCAGTTGATTTAAACCTGTTTCCCTGGAACCAACTTCTAGAATCTACTGCACAGAACAAGTCACAGTGGGGAAATCATGGAGCCGACAGTGAGTCATGGCTGGGAGGCTGTGACCTGCCTGTGGGACCCACCCGGGGGATGAGACGCCTGTGCAGCTGCTGCCCTTACGTGCTGCTTGCACTGCATTGTTATGTTAGCAAAATGGCACCGAAAGGGCTTTCCTGAAATCTGGAATTGAACCTCCCTGACCTGACTGCTGAACGAGACACTAAGACTTTCTTAGTTAAGCTTTCTTTGCTTAACTGCCGGTGGGCCCTGGGTGGCACCTCTCCTCCCAGTCTCACTCCCCTCAGGTCTGCTCTCAATATCTGCATGACCCTGCCTAACCTGGACACGCATATTCTCCCTGCATATACAAGACCTTTCCTCCTGCCACGTTTTCTCATTAGTTGTTCCATTTAAGCATAAATATTGACCTATGAGTAAAAAATGCTATTCTTGACTCTGCTTAATTGATCTTTTGAAGGCAATATTTAATCCTTACACTATTTTTTGAGTTAAACACTGAAAAGTTCCTGGGGCCCCGCCTACCGATGTCGCCGGGCGCCAGCGGCACGGCCATGGAGTGGCAGTGTCTGCGGCACTGGAAGGGCGGGATGAGCTGCAGCATGGCCTCCCCGCTGCCGAGGGCGAACAGGTCATGCATCCGATGCATCTGGAGGAAACACAGGGAGAAAAGGAAGGAAAAGAAAACATAGTAAAACCCAGGGGTGTGGGAGATTAATGCACAAACATCTACACACACGGCTCTGAGTTCCCTAGCAGCCTAAGCTAAAAGGAAAACAGAACCAATAACACAATTCACAATCACATCCAAAAGACAAAAACAAACTAGTTTCTTCAAAGCATGGCATCCCTCAGTGTTGAGACCAGGGTAAAAACTGCTTCTAACAGCTCCCATAGAGACACTGAAGTAAGTGGGGCCTCAACAATCGCACTATAGTAGAAATGGCACAAGCTTCATAATTTACAACTATTTCTAGTCACAACTTCAAAGTAGGTCAAAGGCAAAACATCTAACTGCAATTTCACGAAAGTCTAGCAAAGGCCAATACATGTTGGTCTAAGAATGCAATCTTCTGAGGCACTAGTTTGATCCAGACTTTTAAACTAACAGATGTCTATATATCCTTTGGGCAATGGAATATTCCTTCTTATTGCCAAAATGTTTTGATGAGAACCAAAGAGTGGCAAGTTCAAGTTTATACTTTCTGGCAAGACCCAGGTGAGCAGGTATGTCATGTTACTGACTGAAAGCTAATGACAGTAAGATTGGCCTCTGATGTTGAAAATCAAGGAGGCCACCAGATTATGCACCTGCAGAGGCAATGGCTACACTTCTGAGGGAGCACTACTGCCACCATAGGCATGGCATGCACCCTGCTGGGTGCCAGGCACAGTTGCAAACCCTGGGCCACCTAATAGGACAAAGGAAGAGGCTGATCTGGCTCACCAAAGTGAGAGAGAACCCCTCGCCTCCCCTCCCAGCCCTGCCCATCTGGGAAACCCTCCAGATGGCCACATAAAGCAGGGACCTGAAGTCTGACTTTCCTCTTCACCGCGTGGGGCCTCCGGAGTCTTAGATCTCTTGTCCCCAACCCTGGTCTCCCTGTTGCTCCCACAGGCCCTGGCCATGACTGATTCCATGGCTCCACGAGAGCCATTCCAACTGTTGCTGCAGTGACAGGAGAAGGACCAGGGGGGTCTGATGTCTTGAGTGCCTGCAACTGACTGGTCCCAGCAGAAGCCCTGACACCTGCACTCTTGAAAAATCCCTGAAGACCAACACCAGGTGGATGTTCTAGTATTTCTTTTCATATCAGCTTGAGGGGGCGGGACCATGACCTTCCGCACCCAGGACGGGAAGAAGCGAACACCAGGTTGGAGCAGGCCCGCGGTGGGCAACAATGTGGAAGGGGTCAGGGACCTGGAGCTCCTCACGTCTTCCCCCAGTGCAATCAAGTCTCCACTTCTGAAACCCAAGGCTCCTGCAGACACGGGGCTTCCAGGCCCAGGGCCCAGGGACATGGACAACAGGGTGGAGTCGCAAGGCGTCTCGAGCCCGGGCCAGGGTGGGGAACAGATGCTCCAAGAAACCAGACTCAGGATTTTTGCCTATTTGGGCCACTCCCCTTCCCAAAACATCTTGAGAACCACAACAAGATGACTCTGATAGGCGGCTGAGTAACTCTGTATTTACCACTTTGGCTGGCTCATGGGTTCCTGTTAAGTAGGCTGATGAAAGTAACTTTAGATTCAAGTGGGAAAAGCAAGATAAAGATAAAGGCCCTCGCCCAGAATGATATCCTAATTACGAAGATGAAATCGTACGAGGGCCCCAAGTCCAGCCAGCGACAGGATAAACGTCTTTAAAATCAAGGAAGAGCCCAGCACCTCCACCCTACTGCTGGCAGACAGAAGAGCTTACTTCTAGACACAAGGATTGTTTTTCTAGGCTTTGAAATTCCTTTAACACGATTCAGCAAATTGGGAGCCAATAGTATCAGGAGGTTGAAGACACAACCCAGAGTTGGTAGGGGTCACAGTTTGCAAAATTTAATTTTTTTACTGAGTAAAAATTCATGATTTTAATTTTTTCAAACCAATCCAGGCTCAAAAACCTTCCTCAGGAATGAGACTCAACAGAAGAGCAATTCAGAGATAAGTGAGCCGACACCGACCCAGCACAGCTCTGCCGAGGCTGGTGGAGGGCAAGTGAGGGGTCGGGTTGGCCCTGGGCTGAGGTGAGAGGCGCAGCCCCTAAGCTGGGCTGCCGGCCTCGGGCGTGTGCCGTCCTCCATTGAGTCCCCAAACCTCTCCATGCTCCCAAGCTTTTTGCTTCTCCAGTTCTCTACCTGAGGCTCCTCCTCCATTTCTGGGGAAAGCCAACCTGGGAGTGCAGGTGGGAAGAGCCCTCCTATGAACTTACCGTGTCCTTGGGCAAATCATTTACTCTCGCTAGGGCTGTTTCCTTAACTACAAGATGAGTGACCAGGACTATGAAATCACATACTGTTCTCTTATAGCTGCCTGCTTTCTATTTTGAGGTAGAGAAGTCAGACTGATTAGGGTTCTCCGTACTTAAACGCAGAAGCGTGGCTTCAGGCAGGTAGACCCGCAGGAGGCAGACTCTCCACAGCATGTCTTCCTAAAGGAGCAGGCTGCCCAGTCTCCTGGCTACCAGGGCGCGTGTCCCTGCAATTCGCCCCCTAAGCTGATGTGCAGGGAAGGCCTTGATTATGTCATCGGCCCAGGTCCCAAAGGAGGAAAGTTCTCGATCTCAAGTGCTCTCAAAATTTCCTACCTTACTGCCCACAATAGGTTCTGGTTGAAGAAAGAAGCACTTTTTCAAGGAGGCATCTTTTGGAAATGGGAGGTGGGTGAAAACAGGAAAGAGCTCACGTAAAATGTGTGATCTGTTCAGAGGTCTTCTCCTACAAAAGTTTGGAAGAGAAAAAAGTTATTAAACTGGGCAAGCCAGCCTCCGGCTAACATAGAGCTGAGCAGGGTGGGAAAACTGTGGGTGGTGGGCAAAGAGGAAAACTATCAGGACAATATCGTAAGTATTGGGTCCATGAAGAACAGTCATGCCAAATCCATTAACTGTAACGTGCACACGCACACACACAAACTCCACAGCCACGATGTGTCCGTGTGGGTGGGTGTTTATAAAATCCAGCTAAAACAACATCTAGAGGAAGGGAAGAAACAAGCCATTCATTCTGTCTTGAAGAGACTGAAGCACTAACAAGCCAAGTGGGAGAGGAGACCGAGGGAGGAGGAAGCAGCGAACATCACGGCCCTCTCCGGCGGCAGCGGATCGCCACGTACTGGGAAGCCTGACCAGCGGGTTCAACTGAGTCACTGATCACGAAAGAAACAGCAAATTTAAGGAAAAGCAGAAGCACCGAGAAACTACCCAACAGAAAGCCCGAAAGCAATGTTCCTTCCCTGTGGAGGGTTCTAGATCAGCGGCTGCCAACCTTTCGGACCTCAGGGACCACCGTGGTCCTCAGACCACTGGTTGGCGACCGCTGTTCTAGAGGGAAACTGGCTTTCCTTTTCTTTCTAGATGGCACCCCAAGAAATGGACCATTCTTCTGTAGGACGCCGGGAGGAACGGGGGGCAAATCTGAGTTTCAGTCCCGACTTTAAGCAAGGTGACCTTAAGCAAGGTACTTTAACCTCTCTGATTGCCACTTCTCTGATGTGAAAGGTGACAATGACAATCCCTACTTCCCAGAGCTATTCTGAGCATCAGCACTGAGCAACGGACACTACGCACCAAGGCACGCTGCCTGGCACAGAGCGTGCTGGGGAATGCAGTCTCCCTTCCATTCTTCATGCTCTCTTCAGCCCTCAACGCTCAGGACCCACGCTGCAGAAACACAATGCTCAAACAGACTCAGAAATAAACTATGACTCTATCAGGCAGCCCTGGCGTCCGTCCACCCAGGCTGTCACTCCTCCGGACACATCTCTTCACTTGTCCCTTTCTCTCTCATCTCTGGTTTGTTTACACTGAGCTCCTGCGTGCTCTCTGACTTGCACAGTACCACAAGGTATCTGCAGTGTTGACACTTGGGCTGTCCCTTCCCACACACACACAGGCCAAGCGCCCTTCTGACACTCACCACGGATAAGGAAATGGGAACCAACGGTGAGGAAAGCAGCGCCACCACTTGGCGAAAAACCCTTCCCCGAAGCCTTCTGTCACCTCAGGGTACTGGCACACAAAATGCTGAATGTCCTCCGACAACAGGGGCCGTTCCGTCTTGGCAAGGCCAAAAACAAAAGCAAAGCAGAATTATTTCCCAGGAAAGCTCAACGGTTTCTGCTATTAAAAGGGTAGTCAGTCAGTGGGAAAATCAGCCTCTAGCTCACCTTGATCACCAGAGGATGGAGTCTCTCAAATTCCTTTGGGGCATCTTCCAGGAGCACTACCTTGAGGGGTAATTTCTGGGCACAACCAGTGCAGTTGGCAGGGATAAGGTCTGACTCATTCTGCTCACAGTCGTTTGTCCACCAGGGGTCGAAATCTGAGCAAGGAAGAGGCAGATACAGGAAGAACACAGCAGATAAACCTAACAGGCCAGCAATGAGGGAGGAAGGAAAGATATACTAAGAATGTTTAAAGCTGACAATGGCAACCTCTGAAAAGGAGCAGAGTGTGGGGAGGAGGGCAGCTGTGGAGACAGCACGGGAAGGAGAGATACTTTCTCCTGCAGGCTCTTCTACACTTTATGGGAAGTATTTTTTCTAACGTGTACACGTAGTTCCTAAGCCAAACTAACAAATGAAGCTGAAAAGGAAGACACTCAGTGGCATGGGGTGGAGATGTAGTTCCTCTACCTTTTAAAAAATGTTTTTATTGCAGAGAGATGAAGAGAGAATCATCAACGGGCTGCCTCCTGCATGCCCCACACTGGGGGGTCAAGCCTGCAACCCAGGCATGTGCTCTGACTGGGAATTGAACCCAGGACCCTTTAGTCCTCAAGTGAATGCTCTACCCACTGGGCACCACCGGCCTGGGCTCCTCTACCATTTTCTAATCTGGGCCCGCACGTGTGAACCGTCTACCGCACACGGGGGAGGGGCTGGCAGAGAGGGTCCCACCATCAGGGAGGAGTCCCGCTGCGTGTCTTCTCACCACTCTGAATGTGTGCCTAGACCCTTGGTTCGCAAGCCCAAATGGAGGCCAGGCTGGCTCCAGGAAGGAGGAGCGAGAAAAGGGTACAGAGAGGAGGGATGGAGGGGACACAGGACATCTCTGGAGTAAAGTGAATTGACTAGCCCAGCTCAGAAGGGGGGAGGGGTACTCCCCATGGTTTCTCCCGCCAGGACTGCAGGTGGGTCAAAGGAAGAGTGCTTCCCGGGCCCTGCTGTGAGTGCTGGGTGGCCGCTGCCTGCGGGCTGGCTCTGCTGCTGCACAGCGCTTCTCAGGTTCCCCCTGTCCCTTCCCTCCACACGTCCGTTTACAACCTCACTGTGCTACTTGTTTGCTTTTTGTCCCATTCTGGGCTTTACGTGTGTTCTCTGAGATATGTGTTTGTGATAAACTCCAATTTGAATCCAAAAGGTTCCACCAGATGGTTTCTGATGCAAACCCAATGGAAAGCAACTCAGGAGGGCGCCAGAACAAAGACAGCACAAAGCCAACGTGGCTAAGCTGTGCCGTCAGCTCTCCACACAAGCGCACTGGGAGACTGACTCCTGACCACACAGCCTGTGGCCCCGCAGTGCTCTGCCCTTGTTTCCTTAGGCGGCAGTAGCTGTGGAGGACACCCGTCAGGGGAAGCCTGCCTGTGTTCTCAGGAGTCTCCCGGGCACCCTCTGCCTCTGGAAGACAGAACCTGCCTTTCCTCAAGGCAGCTGCCACCCCCCTCTCCCGTCTCATTGTGGGAGGTCACCAAGCAGAGGCCTACTGCCCCCTCACCTGGGGGGCCTCTGTCCCTCACTGGTCGCCGGGAGCCTTGGGGCAGCTGAAACCCTTGGGTGGCACCTGAGGCTGCAAAGTTAAAAGTTTTTTGTGTTTTTTTTTTCCTTCAAGAATACTTTTAAATATTCCTTATCAGAGGCCAAATATGATGGATTCTTTAAAAAAAAAATTTTTTTTTACATTATTATGTTTGTTTGTTTTTGTTGATTTCAGAAAGGAAGGAGAGAGCTAGAAATATCAATGATGAGAGAGAATCATTGACTGGATGCTTCCTGCATGCCCCCTACTAGGGATAGCTCCTGCAATATGGGCATGTGCCCTTGACCGGAATCAAACCTGGGACCCTTCAGTCCACAGGCCGATGCTCTATCTATCCGCTGAACTAAACCAGGTAGGGCAATATGATGGGTTCTTGCCAACATACAAGAACTCTGGGTAATGGACATACGTGAGGCATACATAATCATGACAACATTTCAGTTTCCAGAGTACTGGTGAGGGAAGGAGGGAGGGGAAGGGGAACTAATGTGCGAAGTGCCAGGTTCTATGCCAGTCACTTTCATGCGCTGGGTTACTCTTTACCGTGTGATCACTGAGGAGATGAGCACACGGAGAGGGAGGGAGAGAGTGAGGTGGGGAGAGCACAGAGGATGCAGGCGGTGGTGGGGGGATAAGAGGACAGGGACTCTGAGGAGGCTGTAATGAGGGTCCGAGGGCTTGGAGAGCCTGAAGCCCTTGTGACTGTACCGAAAGCAAAACAAGGAACCACCACAGGCCTGAGAGGAGGCCTTCCTGCTGCTCCAGGAGGCATCCTGGCTGTGCCTGAGAGCGGGCTGGGAAGAGGAAGATGGCCTGTACTCTGGTTTGTCCCCTTAGGCGGGTTGTATGGTGATGAGAGGTGATAGTGAGTCTAAGTGGAGGCAGTAGGCTTGGGAGGAAGAGGGGCCTCCTGGGCAGGGATGACCCATCTGTAGGTCTAAGCAGCACCGCAGCCTGTCTGCGAGGCGGGCTCTGCCCACAAGCTCCGCCCTGGGGGAGCAGCGACACAGAAGGCAGAGACCCGAAGGTTTTTCTTCACATTTGGGGCATGAGGAGCAGGATGGAGGAAAAGGGCTCTACTTGCTTTCTCTGGGGAGATACCATATTAAAACAAAAGCAGCAGCTTTACTGAGATACAGTCCAGTGGCTTTCAGTATATTCAGAGTGTAACCAGCACCATCATCCAACTCCCCAAAAGGAAACGCTGCTGCTATTAGTCCCTTCCCACCCCAACCCCTCCTGCCAGCCCTGAGCATGCATTTGCCTGTTCTGGTATTTCACAGAAATGGAATCTACATTGTGTGTCTGACTCCTTCAACTTAGTGTCATGCTGCAGAAACCGGTTTGGCTCAGTGGATAGAGTGTCGGTCTGCTGACTGAAAGATCCCAGGTTCGATTCTGGTCAGGGGCATGTGCATTGGTTGCGGGCACGTCCCCGGTAGGGGGTGAGCAGGAGGCAGCTGGTCAATGATTCTCTCCCATTGATGTTTCTAGCTATCTATCCCTCTCCCTTCCTCTGTGAAAAATCAATAAAATAAAATATATTAAAAAAAACACACACTTAGTGTCATATTTTCAAGGTTCACCCATGTGATAGCCCGTATCAGTTCTTCATTGTCTATTGCCGAGTGGCACTCTTTACACGGAGAGACTGAATTTCGTTTATTCATCCGTAAGTTGCTGGACATTTCTACTTTGGGGCTATTATGAATAATGGTCTTATAAACATTTGCGTGCAAATTTTTGGGTGGGCAAATGTTTTCAGTTCTCTTGTGTACATACCTAGGAGTGGAATTACTAGGTCATTTGCTTACTCTGTGTTTAACTTTTTGAGCAACTGCCAAACCGTGCGCCAAAGCAGCTGTGCTATTTTACGTTCCCGTCAGGAATGGATGAGGATTCCAATTCCTCACATCCTTGCCAACACTTCTTATTGTCTGTCTTTTTGTTACAGCCATCCTCGTGTGCATGAAGTGCCTTCTCACTATGGTGTTGGTTTGCATTTCCAAGATGACTACTGAAGTTGAGCATTTTTTTTTTTTTTTAATTATTGATTTTTTACAGAGAGGAAGGGAGAGAGATAGAGAGCTAGAAACGTCGATGAGAGAGAAACACAGACCAGCCACCTCTTGCACACCCCCAACCAGGGACGTGCCCGCAACCAACGTATATGCCCCTGACCGGAATCGAACCCGGGACCTTTCAGTCCGCAGATCGACGCTCTACCACTGAGCCAAACCAGTTTCTTCTGATGTTGAGCATCTTTTCAGATGCATATTCGTTATCTGAATATCTTTTTTGGAGAAATGCCTGTTCAAATCTTTTGCCCATTTTTAATTGGATTATCTGTCTTTCTATTATTGAATCATAAGAGCTGTAGAGAATAAATTCTTGAAAGAGAAAAAAATTATGAGGAAATGGCTTTACCAAATGTAAAAACACAGTGGCATTCTATAAAGCTAGTATAAGTAGTAAAGTCAACCCTCAGTGCCCACTGGCTCCTGTCGCCTACTCCCCGAGACCTATGTGTAACCCAATCGATACTCCAGGACTTATGAGTCACCCACACACGTGCAGAGCAGCAATCCCAGCTGAGGGGGGACCAGGACCCACTCTTTCTGTTTCCCCTCTCCCACTGTAAACAAACGTCCTTTTCACCGTTTACTTAGGGCCACATTTTCTGCAGTTCTGTCAGTGATTTTACTGTTTAAAATGGCCCCGAGGCTGTGAGGGGGTGGAGGAGTAGGGGAACTCTCTGTACTTTCTGCTCAATTTTGCTGTGAACCTGAAACTGCTCTAAAAAAAATAGTTTGTAAGAATAACGAAAAAAATGTCCCTGAGCCAAGTGCTAAGTACTGTCTAGTGTCCCTAAGTACAGGCTGTGATGTGCCTTTCAGAGAAAAGATATGTGTTGGATCAACTTTGTTCAGGCAAGAGTTATAGTGCTGTGGACTGAGTTCAATGTTAATGAATCAACACTAGGTCTGCATTGATCAGATGTGGCCAGAGGCTTCAGGCACCTGCCTCTATTTCCCCTGGGGGTGTGGGTCAGTATTCACTGATTCAGTGTTTGCAGGGATTTTACAGAACGTGACTACAGCACACAAGGAGAACCGACTGCATGATCCCATAAAGAGACAGACAAAACACTTAATAAAATAGAACAAAGATGTGGCAAGAGATCCAGAATATTTAATTCATGATCAAGGTCAATCTTAATTCACTGAATAAAGGATGGATTCAGTAAGTCATATTGGGACAAGTGGTTACCTATTTGGAAGAAAGTAAAGTTTAATCCTTACTTTTCATTATACACTGAAATAAATTCTATATAAACTATATAAGTGGAGAAAACAAAATTTTAAAAATGAAAAATACTTAGAGGAAAATATGAGATGGTTTTTATAATTTGGGGAGGCAAAAAGGCTTCTTATGCAAGGCATAAGTCAAGATGCAAGATGCCAGATTTAATCAGTATTTGCATATAAGAAATATAAGAGGTGAAAAATTAATATCTTTCATACATAATGAACTCCTATTTGATAAAAAATGTTTAAATGG